GGCACGTTTTATATATTTAATTATTCAGAGGAAACGTCACTTTGTGATATAACTTATTATCTTCTTTGTAATAAGTTGTCATTGAGAGGAAATGTTGGATTGAATGATTTATAATAAAAACAGGCACATTCTTAACAAGACATGATAGCCAGCAATTTGCATTAATTCACAAATACAGTCAAATCTGCTAGCAATGCAAATAAAAAAAATCATCACAGCTATTATGGTTCAACACACAAAAAATTTTCATGTTCACCACAAACTGCTAAAAGCTTAAAGTCAAGGTGCATTTTACCAGTCAATCTTTATAGGACAGGCAAAAAAGAAATGCCAGCATTAAAATTTAAGTTACACACTATCTTTCCCATTGTGAGCTAAGTGGTTTAATTTTCGTTTATAAATACTCTTCTTTAGAGGTTTTGAATCAATGAAGTAACCCCTTCGCATTTACCCTCTACAGTTCCCCATAAATACCTCCGCAACTCTACGTTATTCGTGTTGGCATGTTTTGCATTGTCATCCCAAGCACATCGTTTATCGAGCTTGGTTTTTCTACTGTCTTTTTTTCCTACCACAGTATTGGTATACTTTTGAAATGTCATAATCAATGTTCCATTTACCCATACTAATTTTACTTACCGGTAATAAACGTCGTGTTTTCTTGGACGGGAAGCACAACTGTTTAACTTCTGATGAATACGCCGTGCTAACAGGTATACTTTGTAGAGCTTCACCGGCTCACGGATCACTCCTCGTGTCCACGCGATGCACTCATTTCATTAAACGCTCTGTATCTTCTAAAATTACGTCTTATCTCTGAGCCTTAATCAAGTCAACTGCGCTTTATATACCGTGTGTCATGGTTCATTACGCCGTGTCACCTTCGGTGCCCTAATCGTTCAACCCCGTTAACTTGTTGCACGCGCTAGGCCCATTAAAACGTCACGGGCCACGAGCAGCTGTCCCGGTGACAGACAGGTAACGGCTTCTTTACGGTCAACTTTAAGCGGTCATTATGTGGGGCTTGGAGCTGGAGGCGAGTTGTGGTGTTAAAGAAAGACCTTAAATATAATTGCTACATGGTGAACCTCCGGTCATAAATGTGACGATTAAAAAATGGACAAGATCGGGTGATCAGTCTTCGCATTTTGGTAATGCGCCTTGACTTTTGCTGGACAAGGCGCTGACCCCCTAAGCCAATATTTCTATATCTTGACGAATGGTGAACCGCAAGAGCGTGCAGACATATTCTGATTTCGTTATGGGGACACTCAGTTTCTTAGCACCGGGTTTTTGCAATGTGATATTGCTTAAGTCGAGAAATACGACCATGCCAGCCAGTTTTTGTTCAATAAAACCAACTGCACTCCATTGTTTCAGTCGAAAAATGACGATAGATAAAAAATATTATCCAATTTTTTTATTAAAAAAATTAGACTTTTTAAAATAACCATGGAAAAAAACTTTCGAATCGGGTATCGCTCAGGAAGTCACTGTGTACTTTCCATTACAGTGGCCACACCTCCGTCGCGTGCTCTACCTGTCAATCATTTTGTATCACCTCTTTCCTCCTCCGCCATGTGGAGACTTAGATCACACTTGTTAACAACCGTGTTTCTCTGAAGCATAAAAGTCTGTACATTAAAAATGATTAAATTCCGCACGTGTTCGAAATTACTTTAAATGAAGCGCCCTGGGCGATGACAGCTTTCCCGTTGATGTAGTTGAATTTTCAAGATAACTGTTGTGAATCCCTATAGTATGAATGTATGGACATGGCGTTTCGATTGAAGAAACATTTTTCTTGCAGACGGGTTTGAAAAAAATCTTTAATTTCACAACTCGAAACCTTCATTCCAAACACACATTGAATAATCTGGTGGGGATTTTTTTTAGATACTGATCATTCCAAGTCATTGTGCGGAAATTATGTTATAATGCTTTCCTACTGTAGATACACTATTTATTTTTTTTGAATGAAGTTTACTTAATCATTCATCATGATTCTCAGGCATTTCCATTATTTTCACAAAACTGAGACTGAAATGATAAATATCCGTTGTTCTTATGGCGTTCTTATGATGATTTCCGATGCAACTCTTTAATCTGCTTATAGCCTTCAAATCATTCCTTTTAGAAAAAGGTTTAAATAGTTATTTTTGCCAATAATTGAGTGCACTGTATTGTTTTGACTTAGAAATACCATAGGTAGCTGATGTATGACAGACAGAAAACAAAGGGAAGGGAACGTTTATCTATCAATTTTATTAAAGAAACGATCGTCTGACAAACGCTTGGAAAGTTTATTGAGGAAGTGCGTTCCACTTGATTTGAACGCATCACCTGGAATGTCGTTTTTAATTAGTGGTAGTAATCACTTAACGGCATCATCATCTGTTACCGCGTCTCTTTCTCACCTGGCACGAAAGGGGCGTGCATCTTCCATCGCTCTTTTGTTTTAATGCAAATATCTTTTAATCGCTTAGCTTAACATCTCAAAAAACATAAATTTTTGCAAAAATGGTCGGGTGTCAACCGATGAATTGAACGGTACAGTGACACTACATCGGACGAATTTATCAGAAGGAAAATAATAAACCATGCATATTTTGCGTTTTTTAGAAAGTTAATGATTCGGGTGTGACAGCGCGTGGTGTTTACAAAGTATAATTTGAAGCAATTAAGACAGATGAAACGACATTAAGCAATTTTGATAATTGTAAAATTTCTTTTTGTTATTTCCCTGAAGTATATTGGTAAAAGTTCGCCTTGCTTACAATGGATCTAAGGTCAGAATGAAGAAGATTCATTTAGCAGTTAAACAGTCCAAATCATCATCTTATCTTGCTGGGCTGTTCACGCTGTTTAGCCTTTGCCTTTTTATAGACTTTGGTGTGTGCCTTTCCGAATTCGCTCGTAGCAAAACGCCTAAAACAGCATTTTTCAAATACTTGTAAAAATGCACTGATATACTTGTGAGGCAAATAATTGAAAACCGCAGAATCCAGAATAACAACCTGTAAAGCAAGGTGAAATTAGTGAGAAGACGTCTTCAAAGGGGTCAGAAGAGGAGAAAAAACCTACCCAAGAAACGGTGCTATTTTAAGCATGTCTTTTGGCCATGGTGAAAATATTTACAATCCTTATCCTGGAAGTTATGCGACGGACCAGTATGGAGTGGGACATTACAGCAATTGGGGCAACCAGTTATACGGAAATGAGTACAATAACCAAACTTTTTCTGGGCAAGAACATAACAGTTACAGTATGAATATAACCTACCCCGATACCACTACAAATGCCATTTTGCAATGGGGATTTGACTCTGGCACATCCAACACAATGCCTGTCTCAACTAACACAGCCGTTACAGACGACGTACCAACAACAGCGGGGCAAATCCCGTATAATTCTGCAATCACGCACACGGACTTTTGCCCGCAATTTCAACTCGGGGGTCAGAATTTGAAGCCACCAACGACACGCCGAAAGAGAAAAATCAACAAAATTCAAAGAGTGGCCGCAAACATGCGCGAGAGGCGGCGCATGACCCATTTAAACGCCGCCTTTGAAGAGCTAAAGGAAGCAGTGCCCACCCTCCCCCACGAGAAAAAACTATCACGGATACAAACACTGAAACTGGCCATGTACTACATTGAGTTTATGACGAGAACTTTACACGGGACGCCTTATCCGCCCTTTCCTACTACACGGCTGACAGAGAGTGGACTGCAAGGTGCTGCTACAACTAATTCGGAATCCTTCGATGGGTATAAAGAGTGGGAGGAAAATATAGACGACGAGCAACTTTAGTTTTTTCTTCATTAAAGGAAGTTCTACAGGTAGCTCCCGCAGTAGAAAAGTCATGATTAATTCACACGTGGCATTCCTTCTTTCAAGTCTAAAAGTTGTCCGGCAGTATTTCGGTAAGAGCTCGCCTGCATTACAGATTATGGATTGGAAGCCACTTATTATGGCATTGTTGCATGAAATTGAATGAAGGTTTGCATTTACTACTGGTAAATCTGCCACAGCAACTATACCCATAGAGGCACTCCTTTGCTATTATTTTACACTGGATTACTATAATGTATTCTAACTACATCCGATATGAGTTGGCAAATGAGTTGGTAAAGGATAAACATATACAGAGTACATCGTCTATAACATGTATTAACAATACTTGCATCTATTGTGAGTTTTTTTTTTCTGTGATAATTAATTTATTCTACCTCTCTCTCTATGCTTATAAACTTTGCTTATAACTCAAGGAACTTGGGCGCAATTACAAAATTAATTAAATTTCTTGGTGTTCCTGACATTGGTATCTTTAAGTTCAAAAGTACTGCTGTAGAACAGTTTCATTAGCTATGTTATTGTAATAGACTTGTGAAGATTATTTTGTCTATATAGCTACCAGGGCCGTAGCCTGAGCAAAATGCCAGGGGGGGCAGTAAGCGGACACGAGGGGGCGAAGCCCCCGAGGGGGGAGGGGGTGTCCCCCTACCAGTGTGGAAACTTCTAAATCCCAGGGGGGGCAGCTGCCCCCCTGCCCCCCCGGAGGCTACGGCCCTGGCTACTTATATATGTCTGATCGTACCATCCAATATTTCATCTGCTTGCAGTCAGACTTCATCAGGGAATGAGGTTGTGACAAGTGTGACAACCTATCACCCCCTCTGGTGTGCTATTTGGTCAGATTCCTCCCCCCTTGCCTGCCCCTCCCTTTGGAGTGGTAGGTAGAGGTTGGGTAGATCACGAAGAGGACACCTGTCACAACCTCATTCCCTGACGAAGTCTGACTGCAAGCAGATGAAATATTGGATGGCAAGATCAGACAAATATAAGTAGCTATAGACAAAAGAATCTTCACAAGTCTAAAAGTACTGCTGAGACAAAAGAATCATTCAATATGCTTGTAAGTATGTCCTTTAAACATATTTTTGAAGAGATTGGTTTGGAGCTGCGCAGGCAGGTTCATAG